TCACATGAGAATTCTTTCTAGCCCACTTTACAGAGAGGTTAAGGAACTCATCAGTTATAGGCACAAAAGCTGAGTGAACTCACCCCAAAGCAATAAGGAGGTAGGCTAGAGTTCAGATCTGACTCTTTGCTCTCTCCCCACGGCAGATAAAAGTCCTTCAGTGTGTGCCACCACGCTCAGAGCTGCGGGGTTGTCCAGTGGTAGCCCCGACCAGTGGAGAAGCACCGGTCCCTCTTGTCATCCTGAGAAGTTTCTAGAGCAAAGTGGGCAGAGAAAGATGAGGACCGGCAGGCAGGGAATCTACTGTGATGCTGCTTTTCAGGCTGGTGTCAGGCTGCTGGGGTAACACAGGAGAGCTGTGTCCAGGAGCAGAGCTGAGGGGACCCCAGAGCCTCTGCCCTGGACTGCAGAGGAGGGAACCAGAAGAAACACACAGAAAAGAAAGCCCTGCTCTGCGACAGAGGGCGATCTGTTATCTCTGAAAACTTTCAGGGCATTTCTGTGCTTCAAGGTCTTCCAAACTAAAGTTTAAAGATTAGTTTTACAAATGGAAACTCATTAAGTTCTTTCCACTTGCGTGTTCTTCCTATGATATGATAACTTAGCTGCAAAGAAAGGTGGTACAAGGTTTCTACAAAACTTCTCTGACTCTCCAAATTCCTTAGTCACATCTTTTCATAAACAAGAAGCTAACGGCTCACATCTGTATCACTGTTGATATTCTAGTGCATAAGAAGGGTGGGTGTTTACAAACCTGAAGGGGAGTTCAGATCTGCCTCAATGTTTTATCAAGAAAGAGCAGATCCTTAGAGGGGTTGCGGTCAGTTGAAACCGGGAGAGCTCAGCTTCCTCACTGTTTACCCAGAAGAAAAAGTACGAATGGCAGGAGGAGCTGTATGACATTGTGGAATCATTTTCAACCTCCCCAAGAGTTTTCCAGTGCTCCAAAAAGTAACCAAAGTGTCTTTCCAGTTTGGTTAGTCCCATTCCACTCTCCCAAGTCTGAAGCCCCATTCTCTAGGATTCCTCTCATGAACACACTCCAGTTACACTAGCCAAGGTCTTCTCTGTTTCTCTTTGCCTAGAAAAAGCTAAGAAATTGTGTCAAATTCTCATAGCAAAAGCCAAAGATGCTAGATAAGTAATGGCACTTTAGAAAATTTTCAGATCTTTATAAAAGATGAAGCATTGATTAATATGGAAGAAAGAAAGGAAGGGAGGAAAGGAAGGAGGATCGGTGTCAGGTAGGCACTGAGCAAAATGACACGCTTTCCTTTATCCTACAAGTGAACCAAGTACAGTTGGACACAAGAAACCAGGACCCGAAACCAGAAGTCATGATTCTGTGATAAATCACTTCTCCTTTTGGGTCCTCAAGATCCTTCATTTTGAAATAAGGTTGAAGCAGCTCTCCTCGAAGATTCTTAGACCCTCCCCTGTCTCTCACCGAGTTCCCTCTGCAAGCCTTATTATTCCCAGTTGGCAGACACAGAAAAGAAGACATCAGTGAGTTAAGTGGGATAAGCCGCCCACCGAGGCTGTGAAAGGGTTAGGGATGCAAGTGTACTTCTGAGCAGGAGGCTGTCGTTGAGCTCCCAAGATTCAATTCTTTATTTTTTTTATTCTCAGTAACAAAATTTTCACCTTGAGGGCAGAAATAAAATGAAGTTAGAGCTCTTCATAATTAAATTTCCTGCAGAAACTCGGCATATAAATCAGCAGCTAACTGGATGCATGTGAGTTGCTCACAGCTGCAGGTTCTTTCGTCTTTGTCAAGAAAATTAAAGAAATGCCTGTTCACATTGCAGGAGAACAACAGACTGGACATCTGTAAATGATGAATTGAGCTGTGGTTAAGCGAAGTTGGATTAATTACCCAGAATTACAGTGTGGAGTGTTGCTAATGCTTCTCTCCCTGTCCAGCTGACGGGAGCATCTATCAGACAGACGTCTGCCCTGGCTCCTGTTTCCTCAATAAAACCTAGCAAGCCGTGCCTGCCCTTTATTTATGCTGCCTTCGTGTGGTAGCCAGAAGGGACCCCCTCCTGTGCCACCCCCTTCCCTGTGTTAACCATCTTCTGCTGTGTTTGAGAAAATAATAAATGCAAGTACTGTTTTTTGTGTCATTACATGCCTTTCCTAATTCTTATTTTGTTCTGATTCCTAAAACACCTGGTAGAAGAGAAAACAGAAATCTTGAGACTCCTGCATTTCATAATGTCCCAGGGCACAGGACAGAAAGGAACACACCAGGGATACAACTCGAGTTTTAAGGAAAATAATTCCACAGAGAGCAGCTTCCTGGCAGGGTGCTGCAGCCGCTGGAGGCCTTAAGCTTGTTCTAGCTCTGTGGGTTCAGCCCTGACACTTTGCTCATTTTTGGGAGGACATAGTTGATCTCTTCCTGAAAATTTTTCTCTTCCAATCAGCTGATAAACTCCAAGCTTTCTCAAGATGATTTTATTTCCAACAGTTGGACCATTGACCTAGCTATTGTCTTCATTTCTGATGGCACGGTTCAGCTGTGTGGCTTCTCTGGGAATCAGGATGACCCATTACGGTGCCCAGTGTCACCGGGCCAGCCACCAGGCAGAGGGCTGATCTCGGCCACATGCAGTTTTGTGTCATTGCTGAGATGACATTAAGGATGTTTCCACTCCTCAGTCGGACCTTCAGCTTTTTTTCGTGTGATAATCGACATGTGAAGCCCCAATCTCTTATTTTTCCCACTATCAGCATTTTAAGAATGTTTGTTCCTAAACCTGTTCTGAATCTTATCTCTGCTCTGCATGAAAATGCTGGCAAACAAAAACCGGTTCCATTTTTCCATCTGTGGCAGCCTGGATCAAAACGTATAACCGGAAATGAGGCTGAGAGACCCCCACGAGAGTTTAATCCTCTACCTGTCTAGCGGTAGGGCTTGGCTTCCCCCTTCGCCTTCTGTATTTTTATTCTATACTTCCGGTTTCCCCATTAGCTTTGACAGATCCCAGTCACTAATTTCCAGATTAGTGTGTGACAGTATATATCCAACATGAGCCCCACAGCAGAGTAGAGACCAGGAAACTGAGTGATTGATGCTCAAAGTAGTTTTGAGTACTACTTAGCTTTAGGTTCTAATCGGAAAAGCCTCCTCATAGAGTATGGCCCTTCTCTGTTACTGTCCGCAAACGTCATTATTGCCTTTCTTTGGTCATTTTCCCTAAAGTGTCTCTTGCCTGTTGCCTGAGCGACTTCCGGTTTCTTTTGGAATAGCACTGAGTACTTGGTGCTTCTGTCTAAAAAGTAGGTAAGCATAGAACAAGCCCATACAGTGAGTGCTGGTGGCCATGTGCTGTTACACTGTGACACAGAGTAGAATGAGGCAGTGTCATTGTCCTCCGGCCAAAGGACAGAAAAAATGGGGAAACTGAACACCTGCTCACTAGGACAAGGGAGAAGTTACAGCCTAGCAAGCTGTGGGGTGTCTCAGGAAGCAGGCTTTAGGACAGATTATGGGATCCAGGCTTGGGTTAGGTACTCAGGGGAGGGTTAAAGGGTCTGGGCTCTGCTCAGGATTGGACATTGTTAGGAAGTAGCAACAGTGCTGTGATTGGGCATCTGAATAAATCTCATTGGTAGGGGAGTGAGAAGGAAGTGGAACTGAACTACAGTTGGTGGGGAAACAGCCGTCACCCCCGTGAACCAGGCCATGAGACACCCGGCCCTGATTGCAGCTTGAACAGCATGCACATTTATGTGTCTCCTGTCATGGTCACACCATGGCTTGTCTGTGTCCGGAACCATCGTGGATGGTCACAGGGGCCCTCCCGGAAGTCAGTGATCTGTGGAGTGGCTGGACAGGAGGTCCAGGCCCGGCTGCGTGTTGCAGGCCACTTCCTGAGAGCGCAAGACATCGTCGACAGTTACGCGCCAGTTACCTGGTGGCAGGGGCCTCTTCTTGCTTCCTAGGTGGAGAAATGCTGACGAGCTGGTCCAGAGTCCCACAGTGGACAACGCGATGAGCCAGTGTTAATAAAACTCTGTCTGGTCCCCAAATCTAATCACTTGGTGATTCAGCCTCATGAAATGAGACTGAAACAAAGCCCATGCATTTATAATTTTTTTGGTGTTTTGTTTTGTTTTGTTTTTGTACCAAGAATTAAACTCAGGACCTTGCACTTGCCAGACAATCACTGTGCCACTGAGCTACATCCCCATGGGTGTATGAGAAAATCTGCACTCAAAGTCTTTGATTATCACCGATTAGGTCTCCAGCCTATGTTTGTATTTATCTCTGTGAGCTTTTCTTCCCTTGTGCAGGCCCACACATATGCACTGGGGGAAATGCACAGAACCATCCCTGCGGTCTCTCTCTCATGAATTTCTATTTGTCCTTTCCTCTGGAGGCTTGTGCAGTGTTAGTGACAGTGATAATTGCTGTGTTTTATGATTACCGTGTGACGAGCACTGTTCTCAGACCTTCATGTGTATTAACTATTTTAAGTCTCAAGATAGCTATATGAAATGAATGCTTTTTACACCCAGTTTATGGAGAAAGACAATGAGTTATAGAAATTAAATAAGTTGTCCAAAGCCACACGACTGGAAATTTGTCAAGCTGGAACCTAATTCCAGACAATGTGACCAGAAGCTGTGACTGTATCCATTCTGTTATGCTACCGTTTACAGTCACCATTTGTTTTGCTGCACAATTTAATGATCCATGTGAAAAAATATTAGTGCTAAGGAAACAGATCTGAAGTCAGTCTGAACAAATGTAGACGAATATTACAGGGAGCTGATATGTAAGAGCCAAAATACAAAAGCAAGCAAGAGTTATACTTAAAAATTATGACATGCCACTTTTGTGTGCCATAATGTAATTATAGCTCCTACCTCAGTGTAATAACAAATGCGAGAAAAAGATGTCACTAATACTGCTCTCTGATGCATTTTTTTCCCTGAAGTTAACGCCGTCAGCTGCATATCACACTGATGCTTTTGATTTTAATCCACAGATGAAAGAGCTTGGTGTCATCTTCTACAACTGCAGCTGCCTGGTCCTAGATTTACAAAGGATATTTGCTTTGTACAGTTCATTAAAATTCAAGAGCAGAGTACCTCAGACCTGGTCCAAGAGACTCTATGGAGTCTATGACAATGAAAAGAAATTGCAACTTCAGCTGAACGAAACCAAATCTCAGGCGTTTGTGTCGGTGAGTCATTTGCCCTCCCTTTCCTCCTTCTCCAAAGCTGCTTTATTAAGTTGCAGTGTTTCGCTGTAATCTTTTGTTGAGCAAAAAAAGAATTAGACTGATCCTATCTCATCCCCTGAAGAATTAGAATGTGTCCTCTGTTTTGCTCACCTATGTGCTAACCTCAGATTTGATCCCCACAGTTATCTCATCAGGTGGGCAGGGGATTGTAACCACTCTAAAGTGAAGATATCCAGACTTTCCTGCTAACACAAAGTTCATCACCAGGAAATGTAGAAAAAGGCACCAGACCCAGGTCTTTTGATTACCTGTTAGCCATGATTGGCCCATTTTCTGTGCCATCAGAAATGCAACGATTCCCAGATGTTTTTAGCAGTGCATTTCTTTGATGAGACGGATGGAGGGAATCTTGGTGTATAAAGCACACCTGTGCAGAACTACCCTGTTTGTGTGGAGTCAGCAGACAAAGGTCCTTCAACAGGACAAGGGTCCCTACACTGAGCTTCTCAGCCTTTGACTCCACTGAAACCCCGTGCTTCACCATCCCCACCCACCCTCATCTCCTGGTCCACCATCCCAATCCCCACACCCCCACGGCTTCGTGCAGTTGCTGGGAAGTGACAGCCCCAGCCCTGAAACTTCAGTACCTGAAAACCCTCCGGGGACCCCGTTAATGTGCAGATTCACAGCCCTCCCCCCACCCACCCCACCCAGGACTTGGTCCATTGCTGGGATGAGCCCTGAGAGGTCGATTGGAATTAACCTTCTGGACTGATCCTAGGGCTCAGAGAAACATCTCTAAACAGTGCTTCCGACAAATAGAAACATTGGTGTTTTTCTTTTGGTTGGTATTGGTGCTCTTGAGCCAGCAACTTTTCTGATGCTAACAGGCGTTATATAAAGAGTGAATTCCTCTATATCTTTTTTGCCTGTTCACACGAAAGCAAAATCTGAACATTTAGGAGAGAAGTACCGGAGGGAAAAAAGCAAGTTGAAGTTGTTTGTCTTAAATAACAAATTCACATAGATGCAAAAGCACAAAATGGCCTATAAAGGGTTTTGATCAAAGAGAACTTTTCTAATTGGTCAATGAATTTGTTAATGAAGTTTATTGGTACATTTTAGGTATGCATAATGATCACATTCATCATAGGGAATTTGTAGCTGTACATGATATAACTTGATTCTTTGATTTTTTTCCCAATGCCCTGCCCTCCCTGAAGCCCTTCTCTCTCTATTTACAAAAGCTTTGTCTCCATTTTTCCTCCCTTTCTCATTTTTTTTCTTTTCCCTTCCTTTCTTTCCCCTCCTTCCTCCCTAAGAAGAAAATTTGAACATTTTCTTTCTATTTCACAATATCTGTTATACATGTTGGTCCTTATTTACCCTTTCAGTTTCTCATACCAGAGAAACAATGTGGTATTTAAACATGTGTCTCAGATTTATTTCACTTAAGAGTATGGTCTCATTAGCTAGAAATGTCTCAAGCTTTTCCTCCTCTATGGCAGAGTAGAACTCCATTACATAACAAAACCACATCTCCTTTATCCAGTCCTCAGTTGATGGGCATTGGGTTGATTCCAAGATCGAGCTATTATAAACTATGCTGCTATAAACAGGGGTGCACATATATCACAATGGTCTGATGCTTTTAATTCTTTTGGGAAGATACCAAGAAGGGGAATAGCTGGGTAGAATGGAACCTCTAGTCCTAGTATTTTGTTTGTTTTTTCTTAAGTTTATTGGTAAATTAGTTCTGGTTTCGTGAAGAATACTGATTTCCACGTGGCTATACCAGTCTGCACCCCCACCAACAGTGGAGGATTCCTTTTTCCCACAGCCTGCCAGCATTTGTTATTGGTTGACCTCGGACTGTTAGCATTGTTTGAATTTGCATTTCTCTAACATAAACTAGAACTTTAAGAGGTCTTTTTAATATAAATTTAAAATGTGATCAAGAATATAGTAGCAAGTGAGCATATTGCAATGGCCTTTAACAAAATTGTGCCACACGTACATTTTCATTGCATCTCAAGACAACCCATAAGACCAGAAGGCCAATAGAATTTACAGTTTATATAAGAGAAGCAATAGAAAACAGAATGACATGACGTCCCAAGCAAGGGGTGTCGCACAGGAAGCAGCATGAAACGGATGAACTGGGGCTAGGCACAGAGCTCAGTGGTAGAGTATTGGCCTAAAGTGTGTGAGGCACAGGTCTAATTCCCAGTGTCACAAAAATAAGGAAAAGCAGGGGTTAGGGGAGGAGAGGGGAGGACGAACGGAGGGGGAGGGGGGAAGAAGGAAAAAGAAGAGAAAGGGAGGGTGGGGAGGGAGAGAGGGGTTAATGAGCAAATTTTGGATAATCACTAGATTTTGAATTTAAGGGTTTAATTTTAGAAATAAGTGAATGAGATTGCAGCATAATGTTAAATTCTGATGCATCTCCTTTGTGAATTTTAAGGTTAACCTACGTACCATCAAGAGAGTCCCAGGCCCTTAGTAAAATCTACTGTATTGCAAGGCCTCTGTTATAATCTGAAAGTTCAAAGTCATTAAAGAGATAACTACAAAATGAATTGCAAAACACATATTCGGTATTCTTTTATACTGAGTGATGCTTTCACTTTCTTTTTATTTATTTTAACTTATTTTATTTTTGTTTCTTATAAATAATAATATTAAGCCTGCCTTTAAATTCTAATTCAACAGATTATTGATCGCAAAGTGTTTTAGAAAAGCTGTAAGATGCTATAGGTGCTAAATAAAAGTCAGAAAACTGTGGCTCCTGGAATCACACTCCTGCATCTCACCTCTATCCTAGCATTTATCACATTTGTAATTGTAATTGTAGTCATCTTTTCCACTGTTTTCTGAGGCCCTGACAATCATACACAAGATTCTTTTCATCACTGGTATTTTCAGGACCTCATTCAGACAGTGCTCTCTAAAAACAGCCATAAATGTTGAGCTGAATTTATTAGCAGTGATACTAATGGAACATTCCAGAATGCAGATCATTTTTTTTTTCGGTAGTAAAAGCCAAACAAATGCCAAGACAAATTTATTTAAGTTCAGTACGATGTTGTCAAACATCGTAAAGTATTTTTTATAAGCTGATAGTCCCAGACAAAGTCGAACCCAAAAAGAATATTCAGGAAACACAAAAAGAACATTTGAAGACCTTAAAAATAACAATTCCCAAAATTACTTTTAGATCATTGCGAATGGCACAGCTAAATATAAAGTGCAAGCTATGATATAATGTGGATTATTTCTAATTTCCTCATAGACCACAAATAGGTACTTGGCTAGATTTGACTATGTGATTTCTAGTAACTTGGGGCCAGATAATTCTAATTTTCTTGCATTTCCTGTTGAAATTGGGAAATGAAAATAAAAGTTTTGTCATACAAATTTCTTTTCAAAACCCTTCAGATTTTGTCCCTGAAAAGCAAAAATGAACACACAAACAAAATTATGCCTTACTTTCTGGACAAAGACTAGTAGTTCAAGGTCTGTTTTTACTGATCTGGGTGCTAGACAGACAGATTCCACTTCTTGTTGTTTATTATTGAGTTCATTCACCCATCAGTCGTGTGTACTGCGATATATTTAGTGAAGGAGAAGACATGAAACACAGCCTGATGCTGCTGCGGATACAGATGCCCTGTTACACGCTCCCTTGGCCTTCCGGAGTGTGTCATTCCTTACACCTTCACCAACTCTCCTGAGACGCACACATTTGTGTGTGTGGTACCAGGATCAAATCCAGAGCCTTGTGCCTGCGAGGCAGAACTCTACCACCAATGCCAACCCCACCCCAGAAATATAATGCATCACAAAGGGGACCCTTTCCTAAAACACCAGGATCAGTGGGGTTGATATAGTCACAGAGCTTTTCGGGTACTGGTACCCTGTCATTTTAGGAGATTCTCTTCACCACAAAGAAAACCCCATCAGCATTCCCCATCACGCTCCATTTTCCCTTTCTCCTGCCCCTTGCACCCACCAATTTATTTTCTCTGTACGGATTCACCTTTGCTAGACATTTAAAGTACATGAAATAAAAGTGTATATAATCTTGTGGCCAGTTCTTTCACCTAACATTTTCAGGTTTCATTTATGTTGAGCTGTATATCACTGCTTCCTGTGTTTCCTTGTCTTATCTCTGTGTGTGTGTGTGTGTGTGTGTGTGTGTGTGTGTGTGTGTAACTATAGTACTAATGATTGACTCCAGGTACTTGTTGGTACTTGCAGATGCTCTACCAGCAAGCTACCAGCAAGCTACATTCTGTCCCTTTGTATTTCTGTATTTTGAGACAGGGTCTCTCTATGTTGCCCACATTGGCCTCCAATTTGTGATCCTCCTGCCTCAGCCTCCAGGGTAACTGGGATTGCAGATGTGTCATCATCCTCAGCTATTCTTCTCCCTTCATTTCTTTTTAGGGCCCAGTCGTATTCCCCTATTTGGAGAAATATCTATCAAGCACTTTACCTAGTTTTAAATCAGTTTTTGGGGTCTGGGATTTAGCTCAACACCATAAGCGCTTGCCTTGCAAGCACAAGGTTGTGAGTTTGATCCCTGGTACCAAAAGATAAAAAAAAATAATAATAATTTATTAATTAGGGTTTTCTAAAATATGGAGTTAAAATTTTTTTATATGTTCTGGATTGAAGGCTTTGGTAAGATATGTTATATATAAATATTTTCTCCCATTCTTGCAGCCTTTCATGTTTAATTACATTTTATGATTAACATTCAGCAATTACAGTTTGGACCTTTTAAAATAGGAAATCACTATCAAAAAAATTTTTTAAAGTGCTAAGGTCTGTGGAAGGCAAGTGTTGAGTGAATGTACAAAGTACATGCAGTGTGAGGCCCTAATTCATTTAAGAGAGGAACCTAGGTTAACCCAGAGATGGGGCGCCCCCAACGTTTTTGATTGCTAAAAGATTATCAGAGCTGAAATACAGAATAGGGTTCTGCATTCTCCTTCTTTATTTCCTGTGAAACAAAGAATATGCATTGCCTGGCTCAGGAAATTTATTCTAGCATGCCAAGAAGAAGCTTAACAGCTTTCTCTCTAATTCTACCCCTGGTATTAGTAAATTTTATTTATTTCATAGTGATTTCCTATTTTAAAAAGTCCTGCACCAGAGTAGTAGATTATGCTTCTGTGTTACAATTAATTTGTTTATACCTTGAAAAAAAAAATGTTGTAGACGCTGACACATACGGGCACTATTTATAAAAGTAGAGACTCTGGACCATACAGGAAGCCACCAGCAAGGCCTCAGGGGGAGGGGCCTTGTTGTAAGTAAACACGCATTTTTCAGTAAACACAGAAGCATACACCAAGTTGTAGGCATTGCTTGAGGCAGAGGGACCGTAGGAAACAGTAAGGCGGATAACTGCTGATAAACATGAATTCACCATGCTTTGAAATATCTAGAATAAAGCAACTCCCCCTGGGATCGGAGTGTGGGATCAGACAAACTCTCCACCTTTATTAGTCTATGAAACGCTTCCACATTCATTCCACACACACTGAGCACATATGCTTGGTACAAGGTCCAAGAGATAAGACAATCAAATGGGTCATGAGGTGGCAGATAAGGCCACAGACAAAGAACCCAAGAGCATGTGACATGTGCCAGCACAGAGCTCCACAAACCAGGGACTCTGCCTGGATCATCTATGCATGCTGGGTGCCTCTGTGAGCCGAGAGCATGGCGGGCACTTGGAATCTTTGCCAGTGTAGTGCAAGCAAGCTCAGAAGAGGGGAACAGGACCCATCCAGGAAACAAATCATCCTCTTAAGAGGCCTTGAGGTGAACCAGTGTGAAAGGCAGATCACCGTCACCCCTTAAAAAGCAGAGACCAAGATGTCTCAGGCGAGAAGGGCTAGAATCTGGCCCACATCAACGCTCTGCTCTTTCCTCTGGATTACTGGTTGTAAGATGACAGCACATATAAACAGGCCACCAACCAATAGATTCCATTCTGGGATCTTGTGATGAGATTCAGGATGCTCTTCACATGGGTACCTAGACAGGTGTACTTAGACACATTTTGGAGTTAGCCTAGGAACCTAGGCTAGGGATAAAATCCTTAGCTTCTCCAGGGTATCCTGAAACATGTTTAAAGTAGGCCCAGCAGGCTGGAAAATTAAGTGATTTCAATATTTAATTGTTAATGGTTGTAAGAAAATGATGAAAATGAGGTTCCTAAAATCAAGCTAGAAACCATGTAGTTGTGGAAGGGGGACCAGTGCAAGGAATGATGGTATGAATTTGCATATGTTAAATAAGTAAATTCTGCTGATGAGTGGTGGCAGTGGTTACACTGCCCTGTGAGTGCATGAAGTGTCACTGAACTGTACACTTAAAAATAAGATGGTTAAAAAGAAATACAAAGTGTATTTGTATAAATACAGAGGTGGGAGAGGTAATATGGGGTTAAGGTTCTGAAGCAAAGACTCTGGAAGAGATGATATTTGAGCTGGAATTTAGTTAGCAGGGCCAAGAGGACTGTGGTGGCCAAAAATGGTGCAGCTCATCAGCAGGAGAGGCCAGCTGAGCAACTGCCCAGAGGCTGATGTGGATGGAGTTACCATGAGCTGGAGACTGTTCAGCCCGGGGACGCAGATTGCATGGTGGCCAGCAAATAAGGACAGTGGAATCACACCGTAATAAACCCCTCCCCGAGAGTTCAGGCCACAGCCCCAGAGAGCAGCACACATTTCTTCCCAAGCATGATGTATGTTTGTCAAAGATCATGGAGCCAAGGCAGTGGATTAGGAAGCTGTCATAAAGCCCTGCAAACAGCCCTGGTGCCTAAATGAGAGAACTGGTTATCAGAAGTAAGAGGGAGGGACCGGTCCCAGAAGCCCTGGAGAGGCGGGTGTTGGATACCTGTACCTCTGTGCCCTGGGAAGTGAGCACAGGACCAGCAATGCTGCTTGAATGTATATCATTCTCGCTGTCATTGAAATTGGAAGCTCATCCTCATTCCAAAAGAAAAAAATAAGTGATCAAAAACACATAGTGCTCGTCACCTGCCCACAGGACGTCCTGGACAGTGATGCCTGGAGGGAGGGTGACCTTCCGCAGGCTCCTTTCTTACCCCCCCCCAGGTGCATTTCAGTGACTTCATCTCAATGCGCTGGGGTGGGGGTTACTACAGAAGTGGGGCAGGATTTGCACCGGAAGTGACTCGGAGACTGCCCAGCAGTCTCATTTGTTTCTAACAGTTCCAAAAACCATCTATTCGGCTTTTAGGTATTAAATACTCCTTGAGTTATTTGTGCTTCTAGACTTGCCACAATGTATTGATTGTCCAAGAGACACAGGAATTGTAGGGAACACTTGCTTCAATTCTGTCGGAGGAAAACTAATGAAAAAACCAAAGTCTATCTGTCCCTTGCTATAGAACCTGCACCTGAGAACATCATATTTTTATAAGATTGAAACTTCAAGCAAAATGAAAAAACATACCGCAAGCACAGTTGCTTCTTTTTTCATTTTGCTGAAACCTGGCAGAATATCTTTCTTCTTTGGCTCGCTTGATGAATTTGGGCATCTTAATAACTCACTCCGTTTCTCCCGTAGAGTTACTGATGATCTTCTTATGCAGCCAACACTACTCTTCATGAAAGAATCAGGGGGAATGAAATACAAGTTTTAGATTCTGTACCGTGATTGTTTCCATGGTCACATCAACCCTTCAGTGAAATGGTATCTAGAATAAATATCTTGCTATAGAGAAAATGAACAGCTATGGATGGTGGGGTGGGCCCCAGAACTGTAGGAGGTTGAGGCTAGAGTGTTTCCACCCATGACACGCACACAGAGATGTGTGTAACACAAGCAAGAATTCTGTCCTGAATCAGAACAAAAGGACAGGCTCAAGGCCCATCGCACCTAACCTTGAGGTCTCCATGCCTTAAGAATGACCAAAAAATACCCTCCTCTAACCCAACTGGGAAGCAGAAAGTAGGTTTGCAAACATTTGGTTCCACGCCAAGTCTCATGCCAACAACTAACACGCCACCATCTTGGTGTCTGTGTCTTCCCAGAATTCTCCCAAACTCTTCTGCCCCAAGAACAGAAGCTTTGACATAGACGCCATCTACAGCGTGATAGATGACGCCAAGCAGTACGTGTACATCGCAGTCACCGACTATCTGCCCATCTCCAGCACGAGCACCAAAAGGTGAGTGAGCGCCCCACTGTGCAAACCTCAGAGCGGCGCACTGAGTCGGTGCCACAGGGGAACCGAGCTGCTGGCAGGCGGAGTCCCGAAGCAAGCGAGGGCGGTTCAAGTAGCCGCCACACACTGGCACTTTCCCGGGTGCATCTCCTCCAAGTGCAAGGCTTTAAGGGAAGGGCGTCCCGTCCTTCTCCAGACCCTCAGCAGCCTGCACTGCAGGCCTGAGAGCGGTTTCAGATGGAAGGTTTTCACTTTGAAAATTACCTGAGAAGAAAAATAAAATAATTTTTTTAAGGCTGAGAGGGATATAGCTCAGGGACAGAGGCCTTGGGAAGCACTGAATTTGCTCTCCAGGCTGCAAGACAGGTAAAATAGAATAAAACAAAATGAAGTAAAATAAAATATTTTTGAAATTTTATTATTTTAAAATTACTAACAAGAATGAAGGCATGTTCTATGAAACTGGAGTCCTTGATTTCTTGGATTCACAGCAGTCTGCGTTAAATGCTAACGTCTCACAGATTTTCTCAGTGTAAAGGAGAAACTGGAAACAAATTGAAAGCGTGATGTTTTCAGTCAGTGCGTTTCTCTGCATGAGAAGCCTCAGCATTATCTTCTATGGTCAGCCTTGTGCAGGTACCTGGGGCAGAAGGAGAGACAGGCCTGATGACAGACTCTGGGAAACCCTTGCGCGTCTAAACGGATGGCCGCGCCCAGGGACTCTCAGCTCTGCTCTCTTGCTGGGAATACGGAGATGTGGGAGCTTGTCAGTGGTGCAAGTCATCAGTTTAAACCCTGGATATATTTCAAAAATGCATGCTGCTGAGAAAGCAACCCAAGACTTTTCAATTTGAAAAATGACAGCTGAAAAATAACTTTCCTGGGGTTAAATGAGTGAGTCCCCTATTGCTTGAATACTTTTCAGATCTGAAACCTACATAGGCATAATGTGTGACTTCTTTATGCAAATACTGAATTGCAAAGGAAGTCTACCGGGAAATGAGCGCCCCCGATGGCCGTCAGTGGAAACGCATTTAGAGCTGCAAGATGTGTTACTAAAATGCTTTCACTTTAAAATATTTCGCATCCTTTGAACCTTCGTATATTTTTTCCACATATGTTCACATCTTTTCTCTTTCTCTTTTTTTAATGTTTCTTCCATGTGTTGCTGATTTGGTTTTAGACTTCAGCTTCACTTTGGGAAGACGTTTGAATATAACAGATTCTATTTTCCTGCTACTGAGAATAGGTCAAGTTTATGCAGTTTTGAGTTAGGGTAGGATTATGTGTGCTCAGTTTGACAAAATCTCCATTCCATGAAGTCCCGGGAAATAAGGGGAAAGAAATTAGCATGCAAGATCTAAAATATTTTTGAAATATGAAACAGAAAATCAAAACAACATTAGAGAACTGGAGATTCCCCTGAATTGTGCATCTTCTTTAGTTTTGGGCTGTTGTTCCTAAGGTGCGTCTTTTAGAGTATTGTTAAAATTTCAAACCTATACCTTGGGCTTTCGAAATGAAAAGATCATCAAAGAGAAATAAGTAGTTCAAATTTTTCAAAAATCTGTTTACTCATGTTTACGTAGTCCTAGAAAAAGTTTTTCAAGAGTGAATTCAATTTAAATTTTAAAAAACTACGTAATACCACATTTTTGTGTGTTTGTGGAATTAATGAGTATCTTAGAGACTTAACTTTTAGTCTGTTGCCAAATATCTAAATGAAAGAAAAAATTGACACAATCCCAAATGAGAGGTGATTGACACCATGTTAGCAAAAGACTCCATAAACTGGAACTACATGAACCTGACCTATGACAGCGTTAGGATTCCTAGTTTTCCAGATATTTCAAAGCGAATGGAAAAATGATGTGACTAATAAATCCTACAGTAAAGAGCAGAAGCCCTGCGACAGCCATCAAGCTCTCTCTTTAAGCAGGCCACTTAATTATTTAGTCTCGACTTCCTGGAGAACATGGTGGACAGATAGCAGCAGCTACGGAGGCTCTCTGAAAGACCCAGCTTAGAATTCAGGAATGGTGCGGAGTAAGGAATCATAAGCAAGTGGAGATATGCCCTGCTGACCTAAGAACAAACTGGGCTGAGAGAAACCAACTGGGAATGCAATCCTGGTGTTATAACAGGAACAGAAAAGCCTCAGTGTGAAAGCTGGAGCCCGCACCACTAGAAGCCGCGATTTGGGTTTCCCGCCACTGCTGCTGCGTCTACATCCGCTCCGCAGGGAGAGAGACGAGCGAAAGCTCTGAGAACGGGAATCAGTGAACGGAGTTGAAAGCAGGACGGGCGGGGAGCTGTGCATTGACCTGCAGTGAGTGAGAGAAATGGGGACTCTTCCACGGTCTAGGAGACTCCGACAGAGGACATTCTGGGACCGGGCAGACTTGCGGGAACAGGGCGCTGCAATGACTTCAGTCACGTATCCCCCTCTCAAGCGGGATTGGTGAGCAGTGCCTAGCCTACGTGACGCTGCTGGCTGAGACCCAGTAGGCTAGCACAGCCCAGGTCCCAGCACTTGAAGGTAGATTGACCTGGAGGGGTGGGCCCCGCATAGGCTGCCTGGTCTGCAACTTCCTAGTGTGCTGCGGTGGGCGGAACACCTAACCGGCACAATTCAATCAGACTGTGGCCCACAGGGAAGGAAGCTGGGCCTCCTATATACGCTTGCGTATATAAGAAACAAAGAATATGGGAAGAGGCAGCAACAAGAAAGGGTCCTCGGCCCCCAATCCTGAGAAAGAGGCAATAGCAGACACAACACCAATAGATATAAAGCGCTATCTCCAGAGCCTCATAGACGAGTTCAGGAATGAAGTTATTAATGACCTGAAGCTAGACATAAGCAGAATAGTTAGAGAAATGCTAAGCACCACATAAGAAAAAACAGATGGTGGAATGGAAGAACAGAAAAAGAGGGGAGAATTGTTTGATGGAGAAAATAGAGAAAGCATAGAATACATGAAACAGGTTCAAAGAGATTACCAGGAAACTAAAAACTCTATCAAAAACTGGCATAACAGCTTAAAAGAAACTAAGGACAGATTATCTGAACTGGAGGGCAGATTTGTAATATGGGAGAATGAAATGAAAAACTTCTTAAAAATAACAAAGAAACAAACAGCAATAATACAAAGACTAGAAGATGATAAGAGGATCTATAACTTAAGAATTAAGAACATAAAAGAAGTAGGGACACAAACAAATGAACTACAAAAGCTACTCACAGAAATAATCCAGGAGAATTTTCCTAATTTAACAAAAGGTAAAGATACTCAGTTGTGTGAAGCATACAGGACCCCAGCCACCTACAACCCAAACAGAGCAACACCTGGCATATAATAATTAAAATTCCAGAAATCCAATACAAGAACAGAATATTAAAAGCCGTCAGAGACAAGAAACAGATTACTTACAAGGGACACCCATCAGAATTACAGCAGATTTCTCGGCACAAACCATCAAATCACGAAGAGCGTGGGGGGAAATAATTCAAGCTTTGAAAGATAATAATCTCCAGCCAAAATTGAGATATCCTGTACAACTGCCCCTGGAAATTGATGGAAAAACAAGGTGCTTCCAGGATAAAGAGGAACTAGGGGAATATGCAACCACCAATTCAACTCTACAGAGAATACTGCAGGATATTCTAAAAAAGAAAAATACGAAGAATCCAGAAATAGTGGCAGAGAGGTCACAATGAATGGAGCAGAAAACAAAATGAAGAAGACAAACTGACAACTAATGACAGAAAAAGAGCTCAACAGAAATGAGGCAGAGAAGATTGGATGATAGGAACAGCTATTTTGGAGAAAATGACATCTTAATAGGTAATACTGATTTAGTATCATCTTGTTTTGAAGTCTCATCAAGCTTTTGTTCTTCTGTCTCCATTGGTCTAAACAGGTTGTATCTTATTAGATTTTATTATGTATGATAGTATAAGCAAAAATTTTTATAGACAAGGAGATTATACAGAAACCAGTGTTCATTTTCTGTTAGTTGATTCTAAATACCCTGTAATACTGTCATTCTCTTAAATGGTTTTACATTGTTTTGATATATTTGATGCTACAGTATACGAAGTTATACTCAAAGATTTCAAGGAAAGAGACAATATGGTAACTACTTTTGTGTTGGGATTATCTTGTGGTGAAACACTATTTGGCTTAAATGGTTATGTTTTGATCTGTGCTGTTTTGCTATTATGCCCTCTTTTATCTCAATCTCCCTTTTTTTTATGTACTTTTTTATTTTTATCCTTTTAATTAAGGGAAAAATAAACTTAAAAATAGTAGGATATATTATAGTAACCCACTTTGACTTTCTATTATCTTGATTTGAAGCCCTGTATTGCTCTCACCATCTTGTTTTGACTGATGTCCCTCTGTTCTGTTTTGCTTGATAGTACCAGGTTCGAAAGTTTAGGCAACAGCTGTGAAGATAGTGGGATTCATTATGATGCCCATTCTAGTTGACTATTATCTACTTTTGAAGACCTGTAATGTCTCCAATGTTTTGGTTTTGTCGGTTTTGTTCTTTACTGTTTTGTTCAATTGTATTATAACTGATGATATAGGCAATTCTATCAGAGATAGCAGGAGGCATTATGGTAACCATTGTTGATCACCTTGTATTATGCTTTTACATTATCTATTATGTCCACCCTTTTGATTTGACTGACTCTGTTCTGTTATGTCACATTTGGTTCTACTCTCTTCCAAAAAAGTAATAAGAACTGTGGGAGCAACAAAACCCAAAATGTGTAATTGTCATTGTACAAAAGAGAGGAAAAGAAAGTGCTTTAAACGATATAACTGTATGTATATGTATCTTAGTATAAGATAGATAGTGATATTACTGTTTTGTTGGGTCATTGAACAGAACTGTTTGCAGTCTCACTGTTGGAATGTTCACTTTATAAGCTTTAATTTTGTAACTTGAACAATTATTTCTAAGATGACAATATGTAATCCATTAACTAGTGATTTCCTACTATTTATTTTATAAATCTGTATAACTTGTACCCTTTCTCTGCTTTTTTTCTTTTTCTCCTTAAATAAAATTTTAAAAAAAATTATTTAGTCTCAGTTTGGGGCTGTTTGTGATGTGTTTCTTCCGTCACATGAAAGCTAGAGGTATAGAAGACCAATAAAAACAGCCTGATTAGCCTTTGAGGTTCAGTCACCCCCCTCACCTCCAGGTTTGCCTTCTGAGATTTTAGTTCTCTGCAGGTCGGCAGCATTTTAAAGCTATTAAATGAGAATTTCCAGAAATAAATAATATATCAGTTTCAAATAACATTTATTTTTATCTTAAAGAAAATAAAACCAAGCAAAACAAAACAGAACAAAGCCAATCAACACAAACCATTGTAAGTGACAGGGGCTTCAAAACAATAGAAAATCAGCAATGGTTACCATGATGCCGCTTTCGGTCTTCAAAACAGCTGCGGATGCCTTCAGACATAATAAAAATTAAACAAAACAGAGCAAAATAGAACCAATAAAGACAAAACAATGCAGTAAAGGTCTTCAAAACAAGATAATAATAAATCCAAAATGGCTACCATAATATATCTTGTTATCTTTGAAACAGCTGCCCATGCCTTGGATATAACAAAATCAAATTACAATTATATTGCTATAATTGTTCTATTTTATTATTAGCTATTATTGTTCATTTCTTGTTGTGCCTAATATATATATGTGTATGTATACCCTTAACATAGATGTGTGTGCATGTGTGCATGTGCATGTGTGCGTGCGTGTGAGTGTGTGTGTGAGTGTGTGTGTGTGAGTGTGTGTGTGTGTGTTTAGAGTGGGAAAGTTCAGATAATCAGAGCAGAAGTTTACCTGGGGACAGTCTCCCAGGAGGAGAAGCCGCAGTGGCATTTGGGAGCAGACAGAGCTGGGATTTTGTCGCTGAGTTGGTTTGCGGTGCATGCGTGGACTCAGGCTCACGCAGCCCGGGCTGTGCAGTGAGAGAGGCCTGTAGCCGCAGCCAATCTGTCTGCTCCCTGGGACACCCAGCCAGGCCCTGGTGGCCAAAGCCTGCCTTTGGACAGACAGGGGTCCCAGAAATTTCATTTCTTGGCAGCTAACCTGACAGCCTTGCATTTTTTTTCAGCCAGTCCTAAAGCGTTATTTATACATTACAGCACAGTCATGACCAGACTAAGGTAAACATGCTCTGTCGTACAGCAGATTTCTTTCCCAAAACTAACCTTGTTCTTTCCTTTTATCTCTGTGGATATTACTTCCGTAGGACTTACTGGCCAGACCTGGATGGGAAAATAAGAGAAGCACTGGTTTTGCGAAGCGTTAAAGTGCGACTCCTGATCAGCTTCTGGAAGGAAACGGACCCGCTCACCTTCAACTTCATTTCATCTCTTAAAGCTATTTGCACAGAAATAGCCAACTGCAGTTTGAAAGTCGTAAGTATCACAGTGACTCTGCTGTGAAAACAAAACTCCCCGTGTGTGTCTGAGTGCCAGAAGCACGTGCATGCATGCACACACACACACACACACACACACACACACACACACATACACACACACACGTGTAAACTTGCAGAAAGAATCAGAATGACAATCTTTGGTAGTGCAAATTTCTTCAGAAGGCAGGATGAGTGATTTTCTGAAGCAATTGCATGCATAACAAAGAACACGGCGCCCAGGTTTCCTCTCTGGTCCCCTTCAAACCTGGCTGTCACAGTGTTCCTATTTGCTTGAACTGCTTTAATCCCCTGCTGTTCTTACTTGTGAGACTGTGGCTAAACATTAGAAGCCAGCACCCAGTCCCACAATGCCCCCTTAGCCCAATGTCCTGTACCTGTTCCAGGACCCTTGGGCCACATGCTAATCCATCTGTGAATTCCTTGAGGAAGGCAAAATGGGGAATTGGTGATACTCTCAAGGTATGAACTCTCAAACTCATCTCAGACCTTCTTCCAGCCACCTCAGGGCCTTTGCACCTGCTCCTCTCTCTGCTTACAGCATCTCCCCTGTGCTTCTCCTGACTAATGGCCATGGATCCTTCAGCACTCAGCTTTTCCCAGCCCTCTGTTCAGTCATTCACAGACATCCTTCTAGATGATGAGGCGGTGTTTCTTTTAGCACATAGGGACACGGAATGGCAAAGACTTTGAAGCATCATCTTTGACATGAGTCATCTGGGATTGACCTGAGCCCAAATATCCCTTATAAGACCAAACAGAAGTGAGAGTTTGGAGAAGTGGCCAAGAGACTCTGTGGACCAGGCCTGCAGGTGGTGAGCTGGCCTACAGCTTCCCTTCCAACGCCCAGTGTCGTTCTCATGCCCACACAGTGAGCAGGCAGGCTGAGGAGTGTGCCCAGAGGGCGGCTGCATCCCCAAGGGGCAAAGGAAGAAGTCTGAGGATCATCACCACCTGATACACTAGGCGCCTGCTATCTGTTACATTCCCTTCCCACAGACAGACCTCAGTCTCCCTCTCAGCTAAGGGGAAAACAAGTGTTATCTTGTCTCGGCACATCTCTTTATTTACCTGGTAAACCAAGGCAGCCATGCTGATGTCTGCGGACTCATAAATCCCAGTGCGTATTAGAAATAAGATCAAAGCTGTGCTTACCCACCAGGGCCTTCGGCTTTCTAAGACAGTTTTGCAAATACCGTAAATGGACCCACTTGGTGTTGGATTAGTGGTTGGAATAACTGGGTTTGGAGTCAGACATGGGGGACAAGTCACTGCAGCCCCCAGAAAGCTGGGCAGAGACCTTGAGGAGAGAGTTCCATTGTGTTTAACGTCTTCCCAGACTAGAAAATACCTGGGGTTGTTTTGGCTGCAGGAGCACCTTTTCTGGATAATTGAAGTGACATGCACGGCTCCAGGGAACATCCATTGCCACAAAGAACAGGGGTCTAATCACCAGGGTCTTCCCAGCACCCAGTGGGGTCCCTGGCACATTGTTCACACCCCAGTGACAGAGCCAGGCCCAGGACAAAGACTGAGTCCAAGGCGTGGTTAGCCATCTCTGCGGCCTGTCCCGGGAAGCCAGCGCTCCAGAGGTCAGCATGGGTTGCCAGGGAGCACCACTGTCACACTTACGAGGCCTAGCAGGAGCGGACCCGAGAGTGCCTGGCACACTGTGGGATGCTGTGGCCTCTGACTCCTCTCTTGGCTTCTTTAGGGCAAAGCAGGGTCCCTGCCACCCTGTGATACACTGCCACTGAATCACCATGGAAGCACTATGCTGTTTCTCGCTGAAGACTTTTGAGAACGAAATCTTGGGATGGGAATCCCTCTGTCGTTTTCATCTCTCCGGTACTTCCCCAGCTTCGAGGTTTTGGCACAGATGGTCACGGTTCTAGCACACACCATCTGCTGGCTGGGAAAGGAGCTTTCAGCCTTGAGCTCTAGCCCAAGTGGCTGAGACGCGCCTTCAAGAGCAGACGTTGGAACCCGCCTGTGGACCATCTTCAGGAGCCGTGGGGACTCAGGACGCAGATGGCAGGGAACTCTGTCCTCCGTGGACAGGCGCCTCCAGCCCCTCCATCCCTCTCCCACCCTAATGCACCTTTTTATCTACCAAGAGCCTGCGGAAAGAGACTGCAGCTCACAAGGTCGATCCAGTGGCCTGAGTTGTTTTTTTTTTTTTTTTTTTACTAAATTAATCGATCATTTTTTAAGTGTCTGTGCTGTCTTCTTACATGTTAAGGTATCTAAGGACGTCAGTAGTAAGGTCTGATTCTGCTATCCTATCTGTCCCCTACCTCTCAGGGCCAGCATAGCGGCTTTCTCAAGCAACGAGGGTTCTTCTTAAAAGCCTCAAGCTATGACTTCGTTCTTGGTTGATCTTAGAATGGATATGTTATTCCTTTTCAAACCCACCCCCATTCTACAGTACTAGATGTCTCCAAAGGAGACAAAGCAGCGTTCTCAACAAATTAGTGATGAGTATGTATGTGTGTGACCGCTGGCCGTTGTCCACTGATGATGCTGCCAGACCTCATGAATTTCATGAATCTATGGCTCTGGCTTCAGAGCACTCACATCTAATTGAAGACACGGATTTCTCGGAAGGCAGCAAGTGAGAAAACGGGATTAGGTGGCATCACTCTAACTACGGAGCTCAGAGCATAGAATTTCCAGGGCGGAAGTGATCACCGAGGCCACTCCTTTCCCACCTGGGGCGCAGGAAAAGACCAACTCTCATTGTTTCTCCAGACCGAATGTGGACGCAGGCAGGTCTGAAACTGTGAATGGAGTCTGCTTTTCCAGCTGTCCATCGCCTGTCTCTGCTTCTTCTTTCCTTGCAACACGCAGACTCTGGGTGCCATAGCTGGGAACCCTTGGAGAAAGACTCCTTGCAGTTCTGAAAATGTGCCTTTCCCAACTCAGAGACCAGAGACCACCGTATATGGCAGGTGTCCTATCTGAGCTCAGCCACCAGTGTCCCAGGGGCTCAGCCACAGCCCAGGCTGCACCCCACTCTTGGCACAGGTGCCGGAGCCCAAGACCCAGCCCCAGCCCCAGCCCTTCCTGGAGGTCTCAGGCCATGTTCTCCCAGCAACTCTGGCTTTGGGAGAACTGGAAGGCTGCTTTCGGGGTCCACTCAGATTCATGACTGGAAGTTAGGATATTGATTTTGAGTTGCCTCCGACACAAGTGTGTAGACTTAGGTGTTTGGATAGAAAATATTGTTCCTGTGGCAAAATCTCTTGTGACCTTTGCAGATTCCCCGGTTGCATCACTGTCCTAACTGGGCAGCGTGTGAGAATATTTATTCAGCTTCTTGGCCCACTCTACAGGCAGTCCCCTGAGGCAGGCTTCAAAGCCACTGCACCCTGATGAGCAAGACAATGAGAATTAAACAACCTTCCGGCCCTCCCCCCTGAAAGGGTGAATTTTCTGTTCATTTTGTAGCTTTAAAATGTTAATTATGGACTTAGTTGAGCATGCTAATGTTCTCTCTGGTTGCCTATATGGATTTGAGAACCAAAATAGCTTCCTCCATACAAAGTACCTCGAGTGCGGTTTTAATAACCCAGTGTGAGGTCTATTGTTATTTGGGTAATACCCTCCTTTGAGCTCTTGAACTACCGATACACTCTCTACTCACCTGCTTTGTCTTTCTTTTTTTCTTTTTTGTCTTACAGAAATTTTTCGATCTGGAGAGAGAGAATGCTTGTGCAACAAAAGAACAAAGAAATCACACCCTTCCTAAATTAAACCGCAACAAGTACATGGTGACAGATGGAGCCGTTTACATCGGTAGGTGCTGGGGCTGCAGCTCCTGGGAGAGGGGACTACCACAAGTAGACCCCTGGGGAGCCCCGGCTGGTCACTGGGGGACTCAGTCAGGAAATAGAGGGTGCCCCACAGCTGAACCCGTCCCAGGTAGCCTGATTCACATCCTCAGGCTCTGCAGACAAGTTCTCAAGTCTCAGGCCTCATCTTACAGGTGAGGGGATCATCAGAGCGGGGGGGCGGGGGGGGGGGGCCTGGCACTTGGTGCATGCTCCTGCCACAGGGATACAGGCACTGGAATTGTCCAGTGCTGGAACTTGCCCGACCTGGACAATAATTTCATCTCCACCATCTCCTGGACATCTGACATTGGGCAACTGACTTGATCCCTCCAAATCTCAACTTTCTCATCTGTAAAATGGGGCTAATGACAGTTTCTTCTTCATTGGGTGAAGTTTAAATGAGTTAATAATTGCAAAGCACCTGGCACATAAGTAAAACCCAATTCATGATAGCTGCTATTTTTAAGATAATAATGTTCCAGATGCAGAAATCATTATATTGGTAGAATTTTTTCCTGAAGTATTAAGCGTATTCAAATATGTCGTGATATGTACAAGTTCAGGGTAACCCCTCAGCTAGAACCATCAACAGCTAGAGTTGAAATTACCTGAGAGCACCAAACCCAAGACCTAGCAGGGCAGTTATTACATGGTGCAGAAAAACTAGCAGTTCCAGAGGAGAAAAGTTTGGACTGGAAAAATAAGGGATGCATAGCGATGATATTTTTCTAAATTCAGTAGGTAAATAAAAAATACACCATCTTAGCTTCGAAAAGCACTTCATTTTGAGACTCTTTGCAACACTGCCAGTAGCAAGGGCAGCTCTTATTCATCTGCAGTTCAGAAATGAAGTCACCAGGCTGTGAGACAGAAAGGGACTTAGCCTGCAGGTGCAGAGGAGGAATGCGGGCTGGAGACCAAGCGGCACGGACCCTGCCTGTAGCATCCTGCGCGGAGGAGCCCTGACTCCTGGCTTCCGGCAGGAATGTCCTGCCCTTCTCCGTTCTCATGGTTCTGACTTTACTTTATTAAAACAGAGGGTCAGAATATTATGAAATGTATACCATTTTGGTTGTCCTCATATATAAGCATATTATTTTATTTTTCTTGTCCATCTTAGGGGCTCTGTATGTGATTGTGTGGACTTTATTGTATGTAACCACTGTTTTATGGATGATAAAATGAAATCAGTTTCTTTCTTTTTTTTTTTTTTTTTTTGTCCCGGGGAATGAACTCACAACCTTGCACTTGCCAGCCAGGCGCTTATGCCACTGAGCTAAACCCTCAGCCAGAAATCAGCTTCTTTTTAAGTGACCAAAAGTCTCAAAATTGCTTACTTAAAAAAAGAAAAAACACAGCTTTGGATTTATTTATTAGGAAACCCAAGGATGGATGAAGTTTCAGGCTTAGTAGATTTGGAAATTCCGATCTAGCTACTTTACTTGTGTTGCTTACATTTGGTACTAACTTGCACTGATAATCCCTATGCTCTTCAATGAATTAGATAAGTATTTTATAACCAGACAACCTGTAGGTGAGTTCCCACACTGACACTCACACACTGTGAGATGGTAGAAAGTCACATAATATCTGGTAAGCCTCTGTCTCTATAAGGTGGAGATGACATCCCTGATTTTTATTTTTATTCCTCTTCCCTATCTAGTGGATTTTTAAATGAGTTTGTTTTACCTACATCAAATTGCCAGAACATTAATTCCTTCGAGTGCCCCATAGTTCTAGTATAAAAATATTCAAAGAACATCAAGAGAGAAAATGTGTTGATGATTTAAATTATTATCAGCCTGTTCTGGAAATCTCCCAAGTCATCATGCAGATGCCTCACACCGGGGCCTTCCACCAAGTTGTAGCTCCATTACGTTGTCACAAGACTTCAGAAGAATCCTGGCTGTGTCACCTGTCTCATTGTGAATTCCCCGGGGTGTAGATGAGTCCGCAGACCTGTCTGGAAGGAGGGCCGGCAGGGGAAGGGTGAGCTCGTCATGGAAGGCACTCAGGAGGTTTCCGCAGCCTCGGTACTCTGGAGAGAGCTCCTGTGCACCCTGGATGTCCCTTCCTTCAGGGCGACACTGCAGGTCTGGCAACCAGGTCCTCAGAGTGCACTTTTGGAAGCAGAAATGGCAGTCTCAGAAAAAGATCAGTGAAACTGCATCCTATTTTTTAAAAATATTCATATATAGTGAAGCATACTTGGAAGGTTAGCCAAACCACCTGGGAGTAAAAGGTAGAAAAACACTATCACACACTGGTGTGGGAATTCTTCTGATGGCCTGTGAGCTCCCCACAGTGCTAATTCCTGAGAAGAAGCTGCTTAAAACATCAGAGGATCAGATAAGATGCTGGATTTGGCTCCATGTTTTGTATGAGAAGGAAAGGGCAGACTCACAGAACAAGGCTTCCAGAGTTTTCCACCTTCCCCTCCTTAGTTCCCTGCCCACGTCACTCCCAAAGCATACGCCCTTTCGAGAGCAGTGTACCAGCAAATGGAGCAGCAATCTCAGTGCGGCTGTGATGCCCCAGCCTGGGTGGCCACAACAGTGAGTGTCTTTAAAGGATCAGAGGTGGCCTGGCATAGAAGTGTGGGCTGTAGAGTTAGACTTGGCTTTAAACCTCAGCTCTGATACTGCGTGACACCTGCCTTGAACAAATCCCTTAACCTTTCGGTGCCTTGACTTCCTCACCAGCTCGATGGACTTAGTTGTGCACCTCACAGGACTGTAGTGAGACCTGAATGAGATAATGCCATGTGACTGTCTCCTGCTGTCCGTGGCATAGGTCAGAACTCCCAGGAGGGCCTTGCCTGGATTATAGCTGGGGGGATGGGATTTTGAGTGTCTCAGCTGAGTCTGTGGAAGTCATACGAGACCACCGGAGCCTTGCGCTTAGAAAATGAAAAGCACCACTCTCTTCCAGCGGGTTCCTGGGTAACTCTGTGGCCCCAATTCAGAGATCTGAGCCTGTATGTGCCTGCCACTGGGCGTCTGTGTGGAACTGTGCCCTCTGAGTGTGGCCAAACAACTAGGAGCAAAACTCAGGAGCCCCACGCTGGTAGAGGGGCTCTCCATGCAGTCTCAGACACAACATCATGTACCATCTGTAGGGCAACGTCCTCATTTAGGGCGGAAAACTCCTCGGAGAGTATGCCTCTCACAAAACCACAGACGGCAGCAGGTCGTGGGTTAGGGCTGACAGAGAGCAGATTCTTGACTGTGCTGATAATATTTGAGGGAGGGACTGGAGTTCGGAGGCTGTGAGGAATGAATTTAAGGAGTGAAATGGAGGACGAAGGAAATGCTTTCCAGGACTCCAGTGGGTGCCAGATGGAAGAGAGAGCTGACTGGGGGCTCCGGAGAGCCGAGCAGGGACTGAAGGAAGAAACCAGAAAGGGTCAGGCATGGCTCTGCCCGCACAAGTGCAGCTTCTCCCATCCATGGCTCCAGCGCATGGGTCAGGGATGCCCCAGAACGTGACCTTGGGAATTTATTCAGCAGATGCTTCGGTAGTGCCCTGACTGGCCACTGTGGGAATGAGCGTCCAGGTGGACACTTTAAAAGCCATCAGCTCTCTTCATGGAACAAGCTCTTAACCAAAGAGGAGAACAGAAGCAGGAGCTTAGATCAGATCTGGACTGGTGGGCATTTATCAACTGAGCTCAGGGAGGCTGGAGACCTAGGGCACCGTTCATTCACCAAAGACCCCGGGCAGATTTCTTTACCTGTCTGAGCCGCCCATGCCCATCGTGAAAGTAGAGGTAAATCACAGCACTCCTATGAAGCAATATGTATAAACACCGCAGGGCAGTCCCTCTCCCCTCACAGGCCCTCAGATCCTGACCTCAGGCTCAGCTTCTCCGATACCCTGACCATTTCTCTTCCAGGAGACGCCATCTTCTCTCAGGGGTGCAACTCCCTCTTGTTCTAGATAAATTTCAGTGCAGTTCCCGCTGCTCAGAGAGAAGCTCCTTTCCTGACATGCTGGGCACGGTAGAAGCCGCCTCTCTGCTGTGCTGCTGACATGGTGTGCACACTTCTCTTGTCCTGTTGCACACTCTGGCTATGATAATTACAGTGTTTCTCTCCTGGATTCCTCATAGGCAGTCTTATGAATATAAGACTAATTCTCAGTCTTATATTCATAGCTCCTAATAACCTAGTACCTGTAGACATTCAACACTCAATAAATATGCATTAAATGGAGGACAAAAATAGCGCATAGAAATAAGTAGTATCGTCCCCTCACGTGGAGAAAGCTTTGTGCTGCTGAAACTCTCTCCCAACTGGGTACCAGTTTGGGGTTGTCCAGGCTGTTGATCTGCCCACCTTGAAGGTGGGCTACCCAGGAATAGCACAGACATTCTAGGCTCTTCGGAGGCAGATGACAGCCTTACCACCAAGTCTGAGCTAAATTCTGTCCCTCAAAATGGGCAGGTTGAAGTCTTAAGTGCCAGTATATCAGAATACAACCTTATTTGGAAATGAATTCTTTACAGAGCTAATCAATTTAAAATGATATATGTAAGGTGGCTGCTAATCTAATATGACCAATGTCCTTCTAAAAGGGGAAATTTACAAGGCATGGTGGCGTGTGCCTGTAACCCCAGCACCTCAGGAGGCTGAGGCAGAGGATCAAAAGTTCAAAGGCAACCTGGACAGCTTAAATAAAATAAAATCAAATAAAAAGTGCTGGGGATAAAGCTCAATGGTAGGGCACTTGTGTAGCATGGGTGAAGTCCTAAGTTCATCTCTAGTACCAGACAGACAGACAGACAGACAGACAGACAGAGGTAACACCAATATGCATAGAGGAAAGACGGTATGCATAGAGGGATGTAAGGAAAACACACCATCTAAAGCCCAAGAAGAGCGGCTTGGGAGAGGTCCTCCTGTCAGCCTCATGAAGAGCTAGTCTTGCAGATGTGTTTGTTTTGTTTCTTGAGGTGTCAAACTCGGGACAGTTTGTGGCCTCTCTAACACCACGGGCACAGGCAGAGCTGGTGCTCATGGGGCCTGCCTGGACTCCTGGGCTGGCACCTTCCTGAGGTCCTTTTAGCCCGAGCAGGACACGTGTGCAGGCATGTGTGTGCGCATCTCTGTGTGCGTGTGTGTGCATGTGTACTCTTAGGAGCTGGGACGTGTCTGCTTCCCCGTTTCCTTTGATGGGAGGGCTTCTCGGCATTATGATATGTTTGTACATATGGATTTGATGTTGTCTCTTCAAGAAGGTAGTAATTGTTCACAAGATGTTTTAAGTGTATTCCTATATATTTTACATGTTGCCGTATTTAGTGTATCTTGTGAACATCAATAAGAAATAACATTTACAAAAAAAGAACAGCAGATTCCTTGTTTTGAGTTTCAACTTGAGCAAAGCTGAAGAAAATGCCAAAATAATATGCAAATATTAATATGCCATATGCAAGCCTTCTTGGAATTTTTTTTTTCCTTTTGAAGCTGTCAACACAACTCTGCCTCCTTGTCATTATTCCCGGGTGTTTGTGATTTTGTAAATAGAATCCACTTCGTATTTCATTATATCGGGAATATTCCCAGTGGATCCTAACTCCTCACCGTTATGTCTGTGTCTGTTGGCAGGGAATTTTGACTGGGTAGGGAATGATTTTACCCAGAATGCTGGCACGGGCCTCGTCATCAACCAGGCAGATGTGAGGAACAACAGAAGCATCATTAAGCAACTTAAAGACGTGTTTGAAAGGGACTGGTACTCACCTTATGCCAGAACCTTACAGCCCACCAAACAGCCGAACTGCTCCAGCCTGTTCCAACCCAGACGCCCCGCCAACAAAACTGCCTCTGAGCCCCAACGCGAGGAAATTAACTGACTGTCAGCACTTGCGTTCTCCTATTTATACACCAAGGACTTGAGGAGAGAAAAAAAAACAATTTAATATGTCTTTTTTAGGGGGAAAACAAAGCACACATTAAAAAAATTGAATGATATGTAATATCTCTAGCTGACGATATCTTAGCACCATGTACTCACAATTTAAGACTTTTATATTTGTTACTCTGACAGAGAATGCCGTTCTGGCTTAGAAGTTTGTTTTTATGTTTGCATACAAGATTTAAGACTTTGATTCCTGTTTCCTGGTCCTTTCTGGTTTTAGAGCCTTTTCTGCTGGCCGTTGGCCAGTTCTTAGGAAATTTAGCATGAGGTGAGCTTTTTTTATTTTGACACCATTCTGAGCACTGCTGATTAGGAGAAAAAGGTGAGGACTTCACTGTGGAGAAGAAGACACTGATAAATCCAAGAATTTGGCTTTGTAAACCATCTCTAAAACCTACCCAAGCTCCAACACATACACACCTCACATCTTATGTCAGCCTTCAACACTCTGGAAAAATACTTTTTGTGTGTTTTTGTTCAGCATCTTTTTAATATCCTCGGTTTCATTTTATCATTTCATCTTCTCACAAAACATTCTGATTACATAATGTCCCTATATTCAACCTCAACATTAGTTCCCAGTATGGTAGCATCTTTTAAAAATCAATGAATTCCTCAGAATGAATACAAAATAGAAATAGCCGTCTTTAATTTTCACCTCAACTACATTCTTCCCCCGTACCGAATCAGTTCTTTTAAAAAAAACACAGCTAGCAATAGGTACCTTTTCTCTCCAGCTCAGAAAGGTGATGTAGCCACCTGCTAATATCCAGAAAGCTATTCACTCTGCATTTTTGAGAACGATGTAGGTTCCCACACTTTTTTTGGTTTACAGTCTTATAAAGGAAAGGTCTTTATGCGTGAGTGGATTTAAATTTCTTTCGACTCATTATGCTGTTAAGAGTATGCCAGCAAACGTTTATAGAGCTATTTAATATACCTTCTGCTATTTAATATACCAAATGCTTTTCAGAGAAATGCAATTTAAATACTGTGCTTAACATATTTTACTAAGAAACAGAAATATTGGATTATTGTTCTATAATGTCATTGTGTGTCGTTTTATATCTATACAATATATAACCATGTATTAATGGAGACTCCTGCTACATAAGATCCCCAGGCAGGTGACCAGGACACCCACACCCCGTGTAGCTCCTGACCGCGGGGCTCAGAACAGAGCCTTCGGCTCCTTAGCCTGGGGTTTCTGTTGCTAATGTAAAAACAGAAATACTTACCTACCTCGCAAGAATGTTGTCATGGTAGGAGATATTTATAACTTGTTTTGCAATCAAAAGAACCTATATCAATGCTAAGCATTATAATGTTTAATCTTTTTCTTGAAATAATCTTTGTGGTATCCTGATAGAATCAAGACCAGGTCCTCCTCAAGAACCCAGAAAGGGAAAACAAGTCCACAGCTTCCTGTCACAAATGTGGATGGCCAGAATGCAGGGACACAAAGCCACTGGTGGAAACCTGGACTGGATGGAACGTGTTTGCTGGATCACTCGACATAAACGATATCAACACAAAATTAGACACTGTGCTAGGAGTCGTTCTTTAGGACCAGCATATCATGTGTTTTCAGAGCAAGGACCAGTGAGTGGTTTCAACCTTCGCTTTTCATTTCTGCAGGCTTACCTAATGGAATCACGCCGGGAGAACGGCTGCTGTTGGTCACCTTAGTTCACATTACTTCCTGTCTGGTTGTTTCCAATTACTGCTTCACTGACTCCTTAGCCAGTCAATCAAGAAAGCTGGAAGGAGGCTGTATGGTAAAGGGCAGTGTGTTTTTACGACTTTGGGGGGATCCTCAATGAAATCCTTCATCAGTCATGGCCAATATCTAAGTCTTTAAATATGCATCTCATGCATAGTACTTGTTCACGTAGGAAGTTCTTTTTGTCACCCAAGTAATGGTGGCTTTAATGATGTTTTTTGAAAGAAAGAATAGAGTGGGGACAAGCAGACCTCCCAAGTTCATCACCCTGGGACCAACAAAAAGGTTAGGGGTTTACAAAAAGAACATCTAAAGGGAAAGGAAATAGTTACTTCCTTAATGATCCCCAAGTTGTCTACTGAAATCAATATTCCACAGCCAAGGGACGAGGGCAGGCCTAGAGAAAAGGCCTACACTTAGATATCCATGTGGTAGGACAGCAGGATGTCATCTTTTAGGAAATGATACAGTCGCTGTTTTTTCCTGAGTCCCATTGAAACGATGCCCCAGGAACTATATCCTGGTTTTTCTCCCAGGCACCGGCAGCTTCAGGGCTCTACAGGACACAGCAGCACACCGCACCAGGGTAATCAGGGTGGTGGAGGCCATGCCAACCTCCTGTGGCAACCAGGAAGATGGGCCCTGAACACCAAACGTGACAACACTGAAATGAGGCTGTGTCTCCTAAGAGAACGTTCCATTCTGTTGCATTTTCTCTTTCATTTGGATGTCCTGTCTCCTTCTTTTCGAGGTGGCCTTTCTCTCTTTGTATCTGTGCTAAATAAATGATTAACTTCTATCCCTCCCACTCCCAAATGTCCCAGGAAATACTTCTCAAGAGAAAGAACAAAACAAAAACACTTTGAGAATATTGAGTAGATGGCTATGCCAGGGATTATAAGGAGGATGGTTATTACTAACCTTTTTTTTTCTCCATAAACATTTCAGAAATCATTTCCCCAGGGGGAGGAAAAAGAAAACCAAATGCAGTTTGAGACCAAATCATATTGTGGATTCCTCTGTCACTAACACTAACTTAGTGCCTTATTTATTCTGAAGTATTGGTTTTAAACAGTGGTCCCCTATAAGACGACACTTCTTACTCCGGAGTCTCTTATGACCTTCTGCTGGGCCGGCATGTTGGAAAATTATACACATGTTTCCTTCCCTTCCCAAAGAGTCTATCACCCAAAATCAATCCCTGAAACACATTGCCAAATATCAGTACTGCTGGCCTCTGCGGCATCGTCGCTGACCCTTGGGGTACCACGGAATTGGATCACAGGTGATCAGACCACGGGACAGGAAGCAGACTCTCCTGAGATTGTATTTGTGCTCTGTAAACACCATGTGTTGGGTACCTGGAAGTGGCGGGGGGAGGCGCACTGAACCTGACCCTGCAGTCTCGAAGGAGCCTTGTAAAGAGGAACTTCATGGACTGCCAGCGCCCTGCGGGACGTATGTAAATTGAACGCTAGTGTCCTTAAAAGCTCAGAGTAGGCTCAGTTTAGGAAATAAAAGGTCTGTGGAAGGAAAACCTTTGCATTTGGCTGGCTCTGAGCACCATATGTCCTGGAATCTGTGTCATAGTTTGTCTCGTGTCTGATTTGGCTCTGAATGAGATGAGTCGGATCACATTTTTGGCAGATTTTACCCTTTTAAAAACACGTTTCATTAATGCAGGTACTGGTTTGTTAAAAATGCCTTGGTGACCCCAGGACTGACAGAAGCGCAGTTCCCACCAGCGCGTGGCTTTTCTCAAGTGACCTCAATTCCTTCTAAGATTGCTGTTTGTGGGCAGGAACTTTTTTTGAGCTAAATTCCAAGGGGAAATTAAAAGAGTGTAAGAATTTCTTGAAAGAATCAGATCCAGGATCTGTCTCAGGAATTCTGTCCTAGATTCTGCTCCCTCATACATATGATCATTTGGTTTTTTTGTTTGTGTGTGTGTTTGTTTTTTCTTTTTATCGGTACCGGGGATCGAACTCATGACCGCCTGCTTGCAAGGCAGGTGCTTATGCCGCTGAGCTAAATCCCCAGCTAATACGTATGATCATTTGTATGTTTTTCTCCATCTAAAATTCACTTTATTATTTTTAACATTTAAGGAATGTAAACAGCTGCCTTACCTGCAATAGAATGATCAGCTCCTATAGTGAGAGATACTTAGCTATTGGATATTCAAATTCAGTCCCTATGAAGCATCCCGTCTATTGTGGGTATCAGTTCTTTTTTTCCCTGTACTTATCCTCAATATACTGGTGCAATTTATTGTCAACCTTTTAAAGGAAAAACTAATATAAGTCTCCTTTGGCCTAAGATAGATTGGATAAATTAATCCACATTCTAATACTTTCCTAGTTGCTGTAAAAAAACTTCTTCCTTTTCCTTTTATATGTTGATAACCAAATAACTGCTTATCATTTTTAACCTTATTGGCTTAAACGAATGTGGGTTTTTTGCTAGCTGTCAGGTCAACTCCACTTAGGCTAACCTTTCCATTTGAGAGAATTCCTGTCTTTGGCTGAATTATGAAAATATTGCTCTGTATGTGACTGGATAGGGTTCCCTTAGAAGGGTCCCTTAAAACTGTAAAAACTTACTTTTCTTATTTTTGACCCAATACCAGTCTTATACTTACAGATAAAAGACCACGGGTTACCTAGACTTCTTTTGGCAACCTATCAGAAAAGAAATGTAGAATTTAACAGGCCATTCTGTATTTTCTTTTGCTATGTTTAACTACTAAACTTTTAATTCTGTTCCAAAGGATCTCTTGGAATTTTTAATGTACCTGTATATAAATAGGATATACGTGTACCTGGACACATCTCTATTATTAACATTCTGATCCCTAGATAATTTGGTATGATATAGGGTTCAATTTGTAGGGGGAATCATTAAAACAATCAAATCTTCCCTACAACCAACATGCTCAGTTATTTTCAGACATAAATATATATGACTTTTTCATACTGCAAAATAAAGCATTTTTCTGCTCAGCTCTATCTCAGAAACAAACTTGCTCTCCTGATAATATAAATGACAAAGTAAAGGCAGCTGGCCCAACAGGCTATGGGACAACTGTCTTCTATATCCACCCAACAAGCACTGTGTAAAACTACCCTGTCCCTCTATAAAGTTGTACCTACTACTGATGATTTGGGATACATAAGTGATTTCTTAGTGAAGAAACAGTTATGGATCCTATGAGCTTCACTGTGGTCCCTGGACAAAAAAAGTTTCTGTGGGTGCCAGGTCAGTTCCCTCCCATACTCATCTGCTGCTGTCTCTTCCCTAGGGCTCAATCCATAATCAAAGACACTTGTGTCTCCTCAGCAAACCCATCTGGTTGTTATGTTTTTACAGTGCTTGGTATTGGACCCAAAACTCCCTAGGCAAGTGCGCCACCATGGAACTGCACCTGCAGGCCTCAACAAACCCATTCTGAAGCTGATATTTAGAGCTTACCTTGAAAAACATCTAAGCCAACTCCTCCCAAGGTAGACATTCCCCTCCCACGCAACCCCTTCTGAGAGTGTAGCATGATGCCTTTCAAGGGCCCACACAGGATGATGTTCGATTGATTTGCTATCATTTGGATTTAAGGGAAAGATTGATGATCTCTGAAAGAATACGCATGGTGTATGCAGAACTGATACCCTTTTTTTTTATAAAGAAGAGAAACCCACAGAGGTGCACTTCTTTTAAAGCTGTCACTTGAGAGTTCAGCAAAGGTTTAATAAAGTGAACTTTCTGAATCTGAAATAATAATTTCATTTGATTGGAAGTTTCTGGATCTTAGCATTTCACATTTTTATCTGGGCTAATAATAACTTTATGAGATAATCATGTACAAGGAGCCCCCAACTGAATCACAGCAAAGGTGAAAATTATTTGTGATTTATTTTTTCTTCATATGACAGACTAATTACTTTGTAAAGTGGACATCTAGCCTTCAAACTCATTACCGTAGGCCTCAGACACTTTGAGAAGTTGATTCCCTTATACACTCTCCCTTCTTCCATGGGTTGAAAGGTCTGAGGGATAGTTAAATTCTGAGCTCCTTGTAAGACACAAGTGCAAACAAACACAGTGTCTGGCTTACAGTGGTCTCATAAAGCTATGCAGCTGATCTTGGGAATGTGACCTCTTTTTTCCAGGACTCCAAATATTGAAATTATATGTTGACTTTCTGACTGAAATGAAGGATGAAGGTTTTTAAAGACAACCTAGAAAGTATGATACAACAACAGTCATATGGATCAGAGATTCTTCTATAATTTCACTTACTTTTACTTAAAGGTAAAAGACTATCTTCCTCTTTAGGAGGTGTGTTTATGATAGGTAACATCCAAAAGCTTAATAAAAGAAAGACAACACCATAGTTTCAGAAAGTACTGCTAGAACACATTGAAAGTCCTGTGTGCCAAAGCGGCCTTAAAAAACAAAATTAGTTTTGTCCCCAGCAATAAAACTATGTTCCTATCCACATTTCATAGGTGGACCTAAGATTTCCCTAATGTCCAAGAGAGATTATGCTCACACCTCCTGTACAGGGAGGTCATGTTTCTTGGCATGTGAGCTCTCCACACTGGTCACAACTGATCATATCAAGGCTCAAGACCTGAGGCAAAGTGACTCCTTTTCAAGCCTAGGGAGGAAAGTGAACCCAGCAATACTTAGCCCAATCCATTTCAGTCTGAATATGAGAAACAGAAAATAATTGAGTAGCAGCAAGAGCACCAGGATAGACACAGTTACATATCGGTGCCAGCGTGGAACAGGAACAGCAATTACTTTTGCCACCAAGTCTAGAGGTCCTTTTGAGTCACCATTTCTGCTTGTAGATTACTGGAGAAACTACTGAACAATGAGTCTGAGCTTTGTAGGTACAGGGTTGCTTTCCTATCTTCCTTCCTTTCTTATGTATTGACATAAATAAACTCACATGAACTGAGATAGTCTGATTTGTGTCTGTTTTTTACCATCTAGAGGTGCCTATCCTAACAATTTAAACCCAATGAAGTGAAAGTTGTCCTCACTTTTAAGAAGCCTGGAAGGAAAACAAACACGGTAGTACACCCTGTGTTATAGTTGTACCTAGATGGTTCCCCAAACCCTCATGTTCTCAGAGGTAGGGCTTTTGCAAGATGATCAGATCACGGAGTGCTCAACTCAGCAGTGGTCTGTTCACTAATGAGTCCAGCAGCTGTTAGAAGGTGGGGCCCTGGCTAGAGTTGAGTCACTAGGACCATGAGCTGGAGGGGTTTCCCTCCCTCCCTGGCTGCTCCCTTCTCTGCTTCCTGGCCACCATGACTTGAGCAATTTCCTCACCAGACTCTTCCACCCTGTCCTTCCTGCACTGGAGCCACAAAACCACAGGCTGAAACCTCTGAAAACCATGAGCTCACATGAACCTCTCATCCTGTAAGTTGTGGGTGGGTACTGGAAATTGTGTCTCAGTGGTGAGGAAAGGGACTAAGGTACCCTGTCTTGGTTAGAGAGACTCACATCTAGGCATGAGTGTCTCCATGGTGAGCCTCATAGATCCACTGTATCCATGTTAAATATCAAAGCCACAGTAACCCACTATCCTGGACTCATAAAGATGAATCAGAAGCACTGAGCAGAGAAACGAAGTCTGTACATATGCACACATACACACATGCACATGCCTGTTCAGGAGATAACTACATGATAAACACAGAAATGGTTTGAGTTTGTAGAGAAACTAGAAGTCTTGAAGCCCAGACCCATTATTTTTCTACACAAAGAAAATGAAGCAAGGAGCACACCCTGAGTTAATAAAGGCAGCTGTGTTACATATTTAGATAACATTTTAAATACATATTCTAATGATTGACTTGATAAATGTAAAAGTTGCTAAAATATGCTGAATATCTGCTGCAAACAAGTAGTTGAAAGGGGTTTGTGAAGACAAATGAGACCGCTTCTAAGGGGCCTGACAGGGACATGGTCTCTGAGATGCTACAGGAGTAGGGAAAGTGTAAGAGGGGTCAAGACACATTTAGCTTGGTCTTGCCACTGACTCGATTTATATAGAGGTTAGTAATATATTAAAATAATTTATCATTGTGTATTTTATTTAATATATAGCCCATCATAGACAGTCATTCAAAAAGGAAAGGAATTCCATTACCATGTCATTTGTGAGTTAAAAGCAAATGCCAAGCAGGACGTGGCGGTGTACACTTGTGATCCCGATGCTGGGGAAGCTGAGGCAGGAGGATTGCTGCAAGTTCAAGCTGCAACTCAGCTACATAGTGAGTTCAAGGCCCGCCTGGAACACAAAGCAAGACCTTGACTCACAAAAAAAAAAAAAAAAAAAAAAAAAAAGACAGATATTTAAGAAGTCTAAGGTCTGCTGACAATAAAATATGGCTGAATTGTGACTGCATGCACATAATTATAGTAGCCTAATTCTGCTATGACATTGTTTGATGTCAGTCTGTCAGTTTGTGTCTGTCAGCTTGGTTAAGCTACTGTCCTGTTGGTCAATAATACACTAACTTGGGTGTTGCTGTGAAAACATTTTGTGGATGGCTTGCATGCTTATCATCATTGTTTTAAGTAAGGTGCATTATCCTTACTAACCTGGGTGGGCCTGAACTAATCAATTGAAAGTATTTAAGGACAGAACTTCCAAAAGGGGCTCCCTGGAGAAGCTGTCCCTGTGACTGAACATCAGCTTCTGCCTGAGGGTCCCAGCCAGCTCATCCTGACGGATTGCACAGTTGCCTAGCAGCTCCCATAGTCGGGTATGCTGTGGTGGATTAACTACTGGTCAGCTTGGTGAGGACACCCAGATGAACTGGGTCAGCACGGTTCTGAGCGTGGAAGACCCACCTGAGAATTATTGCCAGTGGCATAAAAGGACACCAGGAGAAAAAGGTCGCATGCTGTTGATTTTTCTGGAGACACTGGCAGGGCTACTTTTCCAGATATGAACTCAGCTGCTCTTGGAGGAGGAGCTTGGGACGTTTCTGAGGATGGCTGGGTTCTCTTCAGGGAGGAGCTCTGGTACTTGCCTGAAGGTCACTTCCTGGTTTGAGTGCAGACCGCTCAGCCTGCTGGCACATGGCACATTCACCCAGCCTGCACAGACTTTCTAGCTTCCTCCCCAGACTTCCTAGTGCAGATCCTTAATATGGGGCTTGCAGGAGACATTGCCTTGGGCTCTAGTCCTTTGACAGGATTCATGCAGGAAGCCAGACTCTCAACTAGATTCTTTGGGTCTCTAGCACTCTGACACATCTGCATTCTTTGGCATTTGACCTTTTGGGTGAATACTGTAAGATCTCCTATAAATTTATGTGTCCTGTATTAAGTCTATTCCCTTGCAAGCCACTGGCAATGATGTATGCCTGTTCCTTTCAACTAACCGGTCTCTGTAGACACAGGTGTGTATGTGTGCTTTCTGGTTCCGTTTCTATGATGGAGTCCACATGTAAGCAGCAATAATAAGCACTCCCCAAATCATAGTGGCTCAAAGCCACAAAAGTTTATTTGCTCACACAACATATTCATCATGGGCCAGCAGGATGCTCTGCTTGTCACGGTCATTCAGAGACTCACAGTGACAGAGCAAATGTCACTGTTACCACGCCAGAGGGAAAGGAGTTTGCTGAAGGGTCTTATTTCACCCATTAAATTCTCAAACTAGGAAGTAACCCATGTTACTTTTGCTCATACTACATGACCAGAACTAGCCTAGCCTTGTGCAGCCTACCAGCATTTCTGGAATGATGGAGAATCCAAAATATCTACTAGATGGTACTAATGATTTGACACACTTAAATACAATAACACAAACTTAATAATGAATTCTCATTTAGAGTGACAACAAACTCATAAGGACAAGGAATGTTTAAGAATGATGAATATAAAATTTGATAAATAATATAAAAATTCTTCAGAATGACTTTCAAAAAAAGAAGGGTAAATACAACTGAAACACCTGGCCACGGTGCTGTGCACTGTTATCCCTGCTACTTGGGAGGCAAGCAAGCTCACGGGTCCAAAGTGTGAGGTTTGCCAGGGACACATCTCAGTGACACAGCACCTGCCTGGCAAGCTCGAGCCCTGAATTCAATTCCCAGTATCAAAAGAAACAAAAAGAAAGGGAAGAAAGAAAGAAAGAAAGAAAGAAAGAAAGAAAGAAAGAAAGAAAGAAAGAAAGAAATTTCGAGCCTAGCCTAGGATATATAGCAAGACTTTTATCTCAAAAACAAAACAAACTGAAATAGGTCATCTGAAACTTTGATAACAGAATCATTTTTAAAAAGAGAGAGAGAAGGCAAAATTAATCATGAATCTAAGGGTTTTAATTAGCTTTTCAAAATGTCCTGAATTCTACGTATCTATTAGGTAGACTTCAGTGCCAATAAATATCTAACATAGCACAAAAGAAGGCCGTGAGTAGAAAGAAAAGAGTATTTTCAACTGGGCTTCATGAGGGAATTGAAAGTCTTCCCAGGGGCTGGAGATTTAGCTCATGGGCATAAGCGCCTGCCTTGCAAACACCTGGTCGTAAGTCTGATCCCTAGTATGTGGGAGTGGGGAGTCTTCCTACACAAAGAGGCTTGGTTTCTCTTTGACTTTCATGAATCATCTTTTAACATGTAATATTTCCATTAAATGCATATGTTTATTGCTCACTAATTTTTATCTTATTATCTTCATCAAAGAAAGCCTCCTATTCATTTAATTACTACCGTTTTCCCCTCCCCCTTAAGTAAATATTTCCCTTTTGTATAATGCAAATTTTTATTAAAATTATAGCCCAAGAGGCTGAAGAATCTTTTAATAAGATGTCATTTATTTTCATTTTCATACAGGGATAAGGAACACAACATAAATTGTGTTTTACGTGCAAAATAACACAGGGGAATACCATTCAGTATAACTCGCACTTATTAAGCATCCATTCTACAATCCTGGAGCTGCTGCTACAGAAAGGAGCAGTGAATGAGACTCTGTCCCTGTCCTCAAGGGAGCTTATGACCCGGCTCAGAAAAAAGATGAAATGCACATCCAGCTAGAATAAGGAATAATTTTTGACTATTTGCTTATTGCTGTGTATTAACCAATTTTATCAGAGGAAGTGCAGTTTAAAACAATCCAGTTCAGATAAATGTTTCTCCAAGACTTCAGTAGAGAAACAGCTGGCGAAACGAAGTAAGCGCAAGCCAAGAGGCCCACTTCCTGGGTGGACACAGCCTCAGACATAAGTTCGGCTGGGCTGTTCTTGCCCAGTCCTCTGACCTTCCTCTACTGTCTCAAACACTGACACATTGAAGACTGTCTCAAAACAAAAATAAAACAATTAAATTATATATATATAATATCTGGACAGCTCCTTTTAACTCCTTTGATAGTCAACAATAAAAAAAGTTCTAAATTTTTTTTAAAAATCAGCAAAATAGACAGTGGGTCTGCAATATCATTTCTACTGAAGGGGGTGTCCTTCGTCCTGCCTGACACAAAATAGTTCATCTGTGAGGTCAGACATTGGCACTCACGTGGACTTGCTTACACTTAAAACATTTTTAAAACCGAACTTACAAAGTGTTCCACGATTCCTTCAGGTAAACCTTGAAAATCAGTGCCTGGTGCCCAGGACTTTTACAGGAAAACAGCTGTTGTGGTTTACATCTAAAAGTCCCTCCAAGAGCTCATGCACTCCTAAACCCAGGTTCCTGGCTTTTGGAAGGCGACTGCGGAGCTTATAGCTGATTGGTCTAACGACCCCTGGGGCGTGGCCTCAGGGCTCCTCTCCCTCCCCACCCCTCTCCTCACTTGCTGAGTCCTTGTGGCCTTCCTGTGAGCCGCATTCCTGCTCTCCTCCTTCGTGCTGCTGTGCCTGGCCATCCTGCCTTGGAGGCAGCAGTGCACTGAAATGTGAGCCAAAATAAACCCCTCCTTTAAACTGTGGGT